TTACTCAGTATTTTGTCTTGTTTTCTAGTACAAATATCCAAACATTTGTGAATCAAGATACACTTACTTGAGCAAAATGCAAAATTACTTAAGATATTAAGCCTGGTTTTCTGTAACATTTAAAAAAAAAAAAAAATAAATAAATAAATAATAATTTTTTTACAGAAATTAGCTTTTGCCTAAAACAAGAAAAAAAATTCTGCCAATTGGGCAGGAAAAATAATCTTGTTTTCCCTTTGAATTAAGACTTTTTCTTTTCCCCATTGGCATTACTTCCTCAGCTGTTGTATTAGAATGACTCACGCCAGTGTTAACCACTGTTCTGGAATTACTGCCAAGGTAATAAAACACAATTATATAGTGTTATAAATCTACAGTACATTAAAAAAAAAAATAATTTAATATAAAAAAAACAAGATTTACAATGTTAATAACAATGGAAAGGTGTCATTACAGTCTGTGAAAATGGTCCACAGGTCTTCAAATAGGACAATAACCCTGGAAAGAACAATGACGTATGACAAAAACCTGAAATTGTTGAAAACAAAACACTACACTATTCAGAAGTAACAAGTCCAGACGTGCATCCTACTGAATACCAATAGCCATGTCTGAAAGCAACAAATGGAAGAAAAGTGGGCCAAAATGCCATTAGAGAGGTGAAGGAAAGTCATGAATGTTTATAAGAGACACTTAATCACTTTTATCCAAAGAGCATAAGAGATTAAATCAAGGTTGCCAATAATACTGTCAATATCAGTCTGTTCTGAAATACATGTGTGGATACACTGTTGAAATAATGCAAAAATGTTGCAATACAAATATGCATTATTTCAGGCCATGACCGTATATAAAGGCCAATGAATCGACCTAAATACAGTCATGCATTCAGTGAATGAAAGTAACACATAACGTGCATATCTGAATGGGTGAGCAAGAGGAATTCGCTACAGAAGACAAATAACCTACGTGGCGTGCCTTTGCGAGCTTCCTCCATGGTGACGCGCTGATATGACTTATCTTCCATTGACTCAAGCTGATCTGCATACGGAGCCGGGTATTTCAGACCCTGAGGGGCAAGAAGAATCACAGTCTTTGGGCTCAAATACCATCTCTCATCTGTACACACGCTTACACCTCGATCTCACTCACCACTGTGTATCGTTTTATCTTCAGCAGTTTCTCGCCCTCCTCTGCCTCTCCATTTGAACCTTCTCTCTTTCTCTTCCTGGACAATCGGGCTGAACCGTGGGCCTCCATTCAGGCTCTGTGAAAAGCTACAAAAAAACAGGAATGATGATCATAATTAAAAGGCATTTAGTTAGAAAAAAAAAATACAGAAATCAATAGCAGTGCAACCCCAGATACTGCAAAGAGTATTTTGTAACAGTTGTAAGTTGCAGAAAAAATTGAATATCACTGTGTCAGGAGATTAGGCTGTGGTGCAAACTATTCGGCTATGTTGAAGATAAATGTCCAGATGTCTTTCTGATCTTCACTGGCCAAGCTAAAAGGGTGAATCTCACGAAGCCTGCCAATAACATGACCAAGTGCAATATTTTGGGATGCAATTACATTCTGCATAAGGAAACAGGCCTATTTTAAAAGTAAATCATTTCCTAATTATTCCCAATTCCCCTCCACCACCAACACTCTTATTGAAGAAAAAAAAAAACATTATATACATAAAGACAGCATTTGTTGCTCTGATGCCTTTAATTTAATTTAATGTAACATTTTTCAGTATTTAAATATTTAAAAATGTATGTTTTTTGTTTTTATTTAATAATAATTTTAAAAAACTAATTACTGTGTTGACAGAATGGTTTTCATTACTTGATAACATTAATGACCATTTTTGTGTGTTGCAGCAATGAGAACTTGAAATTTGTGAAGAAAATGTGCTTAAAGGGGTCATATAATGTGATTTCAATTTTTCCTTTCTCTTTGGAGTGTTAAAAGCTCTTGGTGCATAAAGATGATCTGTAAAGTTGCAAAGACTAAAGTCTCAAAACCAAAGAGATATTCTTTATAAAAAGTTAAGTTAACCACGCCTACCTAAAACGGCTCGTTCTAACACGCCCCCACATACCTACGTCACTATGTGGGAAGATTTGCATAATGCCGCCCAAATGTTCACGCAAAGAAAGGCGGCGTAACTTTTAGTCTCACTGTAGTATTGTTGACCTGAAGGCACTGTGTGCTTCGTTGTGAAAGCGAAACTACTTTGTTTGGTCTTCTCTATAACCCAGTGACCTCCACTATAAATAGCTAGATTTTCACTTCACACTTCACAATAACCTTCAAAAAAAACATTTTTTTTAAAATGACTACTTTATGTAATGCTTTTCTAAACATTTTTAAAAGGGATTGTTCGGCCAAAAATAAAATAATAAAATAAAACAATTTTTTACTCACCCAAGGCAAGCCTGTATGACTTAATTTATTCTGTGCAGCACAAAAGAAGGTATTTTGAAGAATGTTGGTAACCAAACCATTTGGATTACCACTGACTTACATCGCCTTTAATGTCTATTCAGATTTAGAAGTTAAAGATCTCATAATAATAGTTTAAACAAATGTTTTATCATATCTTCTCAGTGGTCTTCCTTCACAGACCCCTTGTTGAATGCTCAGGATCTAAAGGGGTAAAGCCTTAAAATGATTTTTGTAGTCGAATTCGATTTTTATTCTCAATTTTATTTGTTTTAATGTACTTTTTTCTGTTATAATTAACTTGTATGAATTTGTGTTAAACAATGCAAACATATACATATATAAATTGTGCCTAAGAATGAATTTGGAAATGAATAAAAATGTGATTTTATTTATTTATTTTGATGGATTATACTGGAAAATCATAATCATAATGATGAACAGTGTTGGGGGTAACGCATTACAAGTAACGTGAGTTACGTAATCAGATTACTTTTTTCAAGTAACTAGTAAAGTAACGCATTACTTTTTCATTTACAAGAGAATATCTGAGTTACTTTTTCAAATAAGTAACGCAAGTTACTTTTTTTTCCAATTTATTGATTGGCAGCTCTCCTGTCCCCATGTTGAGAGAAAACAGATGTTACTGTAGTTCTAAAATAAATATAAATATGCATGAATTCATCTCACTCACAAAAAGAAAACACACAGATTCAGTATTCCTCATGAATAGAGAAATGAAATGAATAGAAATAATGCAACTCAGAATATGACGCAAACCTGCAAAAATTAAATGTTAAACAACACAAATATCCTTTATGTATTTAATCCCATTCTATTAACCGATGTCTTTGCTTCTGACCTTCGATGATCCAGTTCAGCCGTACTAATAAGCACAAATTACTCTAGACAAACATTTGTGTGTCTGTTTATTGCTGAAGTGTGTTGAAATTTCTTCTACTGTACGGACACAAATTTACTTTCTTATTCATTTCACTTTTGGTGCGAAAAGGCTTTTATATTTGCCAAAAATATAACTTTTTTATTTTAAAAACAAACACGCAAGCCCTGACCAGATTTGAAAAGTAACGCAAAAGTAACGTAACACATTACTTTCCATAAAAAGTAACCAAGTAACGTGATTAGTAATATCAATATTGTAATGCATTACTTTTAAAAGTAACTTTCCCCAACACTGATGATGAATAAGTAGGTGTGTCCAACTTTGACTGGTTGTGTAGTTTGAGGAAACAAGTTCAAGTTATTGCACTCAGGCACTTTCTCAGTCGCCTATACTGGGTCCTTCGTTCCTCCCGTAGTGTCCACGTGGAGATCATCATGCGCTCTTAAAGTGGTATAGACGGGTTCATTGTACGGCATATGGGTAAGTAGTAAATGTTAATTGTATATGAGCGGGTTTTATAATAAATATTGACGTTTAGTGGTACGATTATGAAAAGGGAGGATTCCGTATGTGTAAAGTTATACAGTCAAATATTCCCCGTTTGTTTTAGTTACTCGTCAGCTGAGATGTGCAAATAAATCTTTCTGTTGTCACATTTAAAAAGGGGTTCTCTGTGGCCCTTGAGCAGTTGTATCCATCCAATTAAATGTGTAGCTGAACGTCCCTTGCTATTGGATTTTAATGATTTTTTTTTGCCTTCGTGTTCCATCACTTTAATGACTGCAAGTACAGTTAATTATTTGCTGTGTGTGTGTGTAGGGTTATATATCCTGGTGGGGACTTAAACCTGACTACACACAGACTCGTGTCACGGTGGGGACCTAAATTGTGGTCCCCACGGGTACAACGCGATTGGATTTTAATGATTTTTTTTTGCCTTCGTGTTCCATCACTTTAATGATTGCAAGTACAGTTAATTATTTGCTGTGTGTGTGTGTGTGTGTGTGTGTGTGTGTGTGTGTGTCAGAGTTTCTTTTGAATATGGAAACAGGTGAAACACCATTGTGGTCTAGTGGCTGAAGACCAGCGCTGGCTGCAGCCTAGTTTTAAACCATGCAAGAAGTGATCCAATAACACATTTACAGTAATTCACTTCGAACAAAACCAACTATAAAAACGTATCTATCTACCTATAAAAAAATGCATGTGCCTAAAAATATAAAGATTTAAAAGACAAAGGCATATTATTAATAATTTTCAATTAAGTTCTTCAAAGTAGGGCCTAAATATTCAAGACAAGTAAAATAAGAAAGCAGCAACAAAACAAATAAATGAATAAACAAATAAAACCAAACATGCAAGTGACAAAAAGATTATTTTAAATTACTTTGTTCGTGTTGTTTTACATTTTTTACATCAGTATTATTAATTCATGTCAGAAAATTTATTAAATACATGTACATGTGAGTGTGTGTGTGCGTGAGTGTGTGTGTGAGTGAGTGTTGGTTTATATATATCCTGGTGGGGACTTAAACCTGACTACACACAGACTCATGGGGACTCGTGTCACGGTGGGGACCTAAATTGTGGTCCCCACGGGTACAAAAGCTTATAAATCATACAGAATTAAGGTTTTTGAAAATCTAAAAATGCAGAAAGTCTCCTGTGAGTGGAAGGTTTAGGGGTAGGGTTGGTGTAGGGCAATAGAATGTACAGTATAAAAACCATTACGCCCATAGAGAGTCCCCACAAGGATAGCTGACCAGACATGTGTGTGTGTTTTAAGCGCAGCAGGAAGTGGCTGGTGTGCTAAGTCACATGTCGACACCATGAGGACAAGGAGCAACCTTGTGCTTTTGAACTCCAGGTGAGAATTTACATTTTATATGACTTTGCATATGTTAGATTGCTGCACGTGAGTAGTTCCAAAAATGACAGCAGCTGATTTTAAATATATTTATTGCAGAAAAAGTGAAGCTAGTTCCATTAAAATGCAATTTATACCGAATCCATGCAGACACCCAGTACAGTTCTCGAGCGTGCCTTTGTGTTGCCCATTCATTTTCCATTAGATGAATGAGGTGTCAACTAAGGCACACAATAAATCTTGAAATAGCCACATTTAAGAGAGAACACCTTAATTGTTTCTCTTGTTTGCGCTATGACAAGAACAGCATTCACAATAAGCTATATTCATGACCTGATCATTTATGTGCATGCTTAAACAATCATATTCTATCATTTCAGGTGAGCAGCCCTGCGGTAAAAATTCAGTAAAGGGCTGCAACCGCAACATGGACGGGGTCACATGACACCTGGTATGCAGCTTTGAACATTGTCCATTCTGTTGAAGCCAATCATGCCTTAAAGTGTTGCCGGTTCATTGCTGTTCAGATGAATGTGGCGTCAACTAGGGCAGACATTAATACATGAGGTGGCTGCTGAAGGGTGCTTACATCTGTGCCTTTCAAAAGTTTCATGTTATGGACATCAACTTTTTAAACAATTGATGATGCATTATATACTATGATGATGTAATCCATAAAAATGCAAAGCTTAGTGCTAATTCATCCTGTTTATTATAAAGGGTCTATGTTCACAGAAGAGTGATCCTTTCCAGTGGTGGTAAATTACCCAGCATTCACGGACTAGTGGTGTGCGAGGTGAGTTTTACTAACACTGACTCTCAGTGACAAACTCGATTTGTTTTGACTTGATTCATATTTTGCTGCTTTGTAATGATTTGTATGGTACATAAATTTGAGTTCAATAAGGCAAATGTAAATATTTGAAAATGCTCATAATCGGTTACTTTTAAACCTTGAAGTAATATAATGTTTAATGCTTTTCATGATGTTGATAACAAAGCACGGATTATATCTGATTGCTCTTTTATAACAATAATCCCATTCAAATTTATAAACAAGTTAGGTCATGAGTAATCGAAACGATCTAATCTAAAATGAGTAATCTACTGAGTTACACTACTGACTACAGTTTTCATCATAATTTGCTATCAGTAATCCTCCCAGCACTGTTCACTAAATATTGTGATTATGTGGAACAATAATGCCTCTTTTGTTTAGTCCAATAAAGGATTTAATAAATGTTGAATCTATTAAAAAAGTTTCACTACATTGAAATATTCAAAGAAATGAATTCTCTCTCTGCTTTTTTGTTGATATTGTATAATTAAACTGAATGATAATAAGACTTTAGAATGGGGTGACGCATAAATGATTACTATTATTTGTATTAAACGCTTATTGTGTTCCCATCTTCATTTGGAATTTAAATTATTCATATATACTCCAATGACACTTCTCCTGAAAAGACACAGTTTACTCCAGCATGTTGTGTCACTGGACCACTTTTTTTTCTTTTTCAGAAGTGCTCTTTTTTTTATAGCTGTATCTGTATAGGATTCTAGTTGATATTAGACATCTATAAATATATTTAGATGCATTTCTCCTTGCCTAGAGGACAGCAAGGTAAGCGGCCCAGTTTACCCCATTCTCCAAATGGCACCCATTCGGTAGAATGACCCCCAAGTAACTTACACAGCTACCACCCCTCACCGCTAGAGGGAGCGCGTGTCCCCGGGCATTCGGCGTCAATGAAAGCAATACAAAACCCTCTGTAAGGAGAGCACAGGGAAGCTCTCCGAGGAGCCACGGCATTCCTGACCAAAGTAATCTTCTTTAGCACACATTTCACGCACTATCCTCCGTTCTCAACAGGCGGGACGCAGTGAATAAGAGTATGGGTCATTAATCGCCTTCCAAACCCATCAGCTCGTGGAGTATTCGCGCTGATAGAGATTCCTGGGAACTCCGGAGGAAGGCAAGGAAGCAAAGAAAGAACGGGATTCATCAAAAAGTCAGCTGGCGGGTGGAAGCGAGCAAAAGCCCACTCTGGAGGGGCATCAGGGGCCCCTGCGCTGGATGACCGCCGTTCACTTCTCCCCAGCGGTCAGCAATGGGGGAGACTAAAGTTATCTACCATCTCGACGACCAGGAAACTCCATACCTGGTCAAACTGCCCATCCCTGCAGAAAGGGTCACCCTTTTGGACCTGAAAAACGCCCTCAAGAAACCAAACTACAAGTTTTTCTTTAAATCTATGGATGATGACTTCGGGTGAGCCTGCCGTACATTAGTCTTCCTCGCGTGTATTTCTCAGGATTGACGCACAATTCCAGCTCTTCACATGTTTTTCCCTTTGTTTGGATCGTGGGTCGACTGCCCTGATGTTTCAGAGGCCGATATCATGTCTTTTATTAGCGGTGTTGGACACAACTGTGTGTGTGAAAGGAGAAAATGCGCGGAGTTCAGCAGGGGTGAATGTTAGGTCCTTTTCAATTGACGACGGCATCCATTTTAAGTCTGGATTACTCTTCAAATATGGTTTTTGGCCTGTCGGTACGAGCTTTGGGTGCAGTTAGCTAGTTAGTGAATGGTTGGTGACCACAGTTTCACAGAAGGGAGTAGTTTAGTATCCTTCCAGTGCCATGGCTACACAAAAAGCACTCTTGGTTTTGGGGTTTCTTTAGGCTTATTGTGTTCAGATCAGGTTCCTAGAGTATTTTCTTTTTTCCCCCTCACAAATGAGTACATTATGAGCGAGTATAATTCCACTTTGAGGAATTTTCCTCCTGGATTCAAGAGCATATCAGAGGAGTACAGTGGAATCAGTTTGAATGTGCAGTGCGCATGCGCAGTGCAGAGGCCATATGTCCCCCCAAATGATGAAAACATTCGAGTTTTAGATGGACATTTGGACGCGTTTAACGTTATTTATGATAATTAGCCATAGACTTACTTTTTTTCAGCGTTTAAATGCCTTTTAGAGTTTTTGTGAACTCTCTGACCTCTTATGTAGGCCTTCAAAAGCAGACTTTGTACACATAATTGGATAAGTTGACCAGGGTTGCCAGGTCATGGAAAACCTGGAAATATCAGGGGATTTTAATGTGAGCTACAGCATGGAAATTACCGTAGTTAGGGAATATAATTTTTCAAGCCTTGCTTAAATATGCAATTGGTTGGATATTACTCATTGTGAGTGCTTGTAAAGAGTAAAACCTGCTTGTGGGCTGCCCACTGCTCCAGGTGTGTGTGTGTGTGTGTGTGTGTGTGCGCTTTGGATAAATGCAGAGCACTAATTCCGAGTATGGGTCACTTCAATTTTCACTTGACTCACTTATCATTACCTAGATTAATTAAAATCTGGTCCGCAGTATCTCTAGAATGAGTTCTAAATAAACATTTTCAATCATCGTGACTAGTTAGAAAGAGCGTGAAGATTAATTGTTCAAAAAGTGTGGGATTTCAGATCGTCTTGACACTTTTGGACATTTTCTTTATATGTCAGGATTATAACAATATATTTTGCACTTGAAAACGTGAAACTTTGTTTCGTGTTTGTGTTGGGGTTTAAAAGCGTGTTATATAAAGTGTTACCTGTATCTTTAAACTAACCCCTAGCTTGTGAATAAGTCTCATTTGGAGCACTGGCTAGTGCTAGTGTTCTTGTCTTGTCTGTCTGTTGCATTAGGCCCAAGAATGTTGACTTGGAACAACTGCATGCAGTGACTGTGGAATGCCCTGATCGCTTCAGCGCTGGCAGCTTTACAACCTTCCCCAGTGAAACATGTCGTAGTTTGATCGTCCCGTTCCCCTCTCTTTAACTCCCCTTCAAAAAAGTGCATTAATAGCTTAAAGATGTTCGTCGTTGAAGGACAGGCTCAGATCTCTGCCAAATGGAAGCGAATAGCTCAATTGAATCTGTCTCTGTTGAGGATTTACATGTCTGAACCAGTCTTTTTACACATTTTTAATTGACATTATTGGATTAGAGTGTTTGTGAATGAATGAATTTTTTGTTTTGTTTTGTATGCATATCAAAATGGGTAGTTTATGTTAAAGACGGGCAGTATAGAATAAAGAAATCATCTGGGTTTAAAATATTAAGCATCTGTAGCATGGTTTTGAATACCACAGAAAATAATTTTGACTCGTCCCTCAGTTTGTAAAGGATATTTCACACACTAGCTTTCAAAACTTTGGGTTCAGTAAGATTTATTTTTATGATTTTAAAAGAAGTCTCTTCTGCTCACCAAGGCTGCATTCATTTGATTTAAAATATGGTAAAACAGTAATATTGTGAAATATTATTACAGTCCAAAATTGCAGTTTTCTAATTTAATATATTAAAATCGAATTTATTCCTGTGATGCAAAGCTGTATTTTCAGCATCATTACTCCAGTCTTCAGTGTCACGTGATTCTTCAGATATCATTCTAATATGCTGGTTTGCTGCTCAAGAAACATTTCTTCTTATCAGTGTTTTTTTTGGAAGCATGATGATTTTTTTTCAGGATACTTGTATGAGTAGAAAGTTCATAAAAACAGCATTTATTTGAACAAATCTTTTGTCAGTGTAAAAATCCTTTCTGTTACTTTCAATTTAATGCATCCTTGCTGAATAAATCAATTTATGTATACATATAAAAAAAACTTACTGACACAAAGGTTTGAATGATAGTGTATATGATAATTCGGAGCAAGCATGGAATATTTATGCTTTTGAAACTGTATTTGTCACACCACAGGAATATTTAATTTCCAAGCATTAGGGCTGATATCCTGTATAGGAATCACAATAAACAATACAATTTAAAAAGTCATAAAGATTGGGAAACCTGAATTATTGTTTGCCTCGCAGGCATTTCTGTACACACATTTTTGTTGTATGTTTTACAAACTGATAGCGGAATCTAAATGATCCGTTTCGCAGTGTCATGTTACAGTCTTGTTGGTTGTAAATGATGTGAGCTTGTACTTGTTTTACATATGAGCATTTGAACAAACTGGTCTTTTCATACAGACCTGAGAAATCAACATACTAGTGGTACATTTTGTACAGCTGAAATGTCTTTGAATTCATGAGTTTGGGATCTTATCTGCTGGAGTGTCCCTGCGTTCAGTCCTTTGTGTGTTCTGTGAGCACGTGTGTGTGCATGCTTATCTGATTTATGCGTTTCTGATCCAGCCCGTCCTTTCTTTCATCTAATGGCATTGTCTCATCTACCTATTCTAATTTATTCCCAGACACTCCGGGGATCTCTAAAACTGATCTTTCTTTTTTTACAGTTCACACAGGCTGCGGTTGGAAAATAAGACTGTCTGTTCTGATTTGTTTTTCTCTCTGTTTCTTGTGTTTCTGCAGGGTGGTCAAGGAGGAAATCACAGACGACAATGCAAAGCTTCCCTGTTACAACGGCCGTGTGATTTGCTGGGTGAGAACAGAAACACACACACACACAAACGCATCCTTGCATCTTAATTCCCCGGTGCTCCTTGCATAATAGATCAGCCTTTTAATTCAGCCCGTTCCCGGTTCTCTTGAGTGCTGGCACTGCTGTATTTGTATTTTTCAAAGAGTCTGCCAGTCATTCCTACTTAAAGTTCACTTCGGTCTGATGCAGCTAATCAAAGATTTTGGTATGCTGCATAAGCTTTGTTTTATGAGCGGCTCAGTTATATTTAAATGGCATGCAATTGCAAAGAACATATTTTTTATTCTGAATGACAACATATGCGTATGCACACATAATAGACATATTGCTTGTCCCATCATAGTAAAAGTTCTCTTGGGATCTGGAACCATTTTATAGACCATAGTAGTGGTCGACCGATATTGGTTTTTTGACTGCCGATGCCGATATCTTGGAAAGCAGGATGACCGATATAAAGCCGATATAATTGTATTTATTTTAATTAATGTTTAAGAAATTTGAAATCATTTGAAAATGGATTAAAAAATAAATTTGTAAAATAAACATACTTATACTTTAGATGACAAAGTATTTTCCACAAATAAATATTTAATAAAAATATAATTAAAAAGGAAGTAAACTGTAACCAACAGAGCACTCCGTATTCTGGGAAGTTTGTTTGCATTGGTAATCATATTTTTTCAAATAAAGCCAAGGTAACACTCATTTTACATGCAGCACACAGTGAAAATGACATGAATATGACAGTGGGCAAATGCATAATGTGCAGCATCATTTGAAATCACAAATTTAATGTTTAAAGCATTCAATTCACACGGACTGAAAGTCACACAGTGAACACGCAATCATGCAGGACACATGCACACTTCACTGGATTCATAAGTTTGCAAGGTTTGTGAAATTACATTTTCATTAGCCATTCAAAGATTTGTTTAAATGATATAAATGCGTATTTGCTGAATGATGACGGCAAACGAGAAAGTATTGTAATGTTTGCCTTTCTATTACTAATAATATAAAAGCAATCGTTATAATACTTTTTGTATACATTTTAATTCCTTTGTTTAACAGTTCTATCAGATTATTAGACAGACTTCTATCCGTATTAGACAGAACTGTTAACGATGACGGCGAACAAGAGGGAGAATGTGAGCACTGTGCCCACTGCCACTCTCAGCGCCGTCAAAATAAAAGTCCCACATCGAACGCATCGGCAAAAAATGTATCGGCCAATGCCGATATTTGAAAAATGCCAAATATCGGCCGTGGCGATATATCGGTCGACCACTACATGTATGTATGAAGATTAGGGTATTGTAATATGTTTGTATAGTGAGGGGATATATAGCCTAGTGAGTTTATATGGTGAGAGATCAGTGACAGGAGTTTGTAGTATGGGTATATTAGACTGGGGTGTGAGGCATTTTGCATAAAAAAAGGGTGTATTTCTCAATGTGAAGAAATTCTATTCTATTCAAATGTATAACCACTTCAGGGTACTGTGAAGTGCATGTCATTGTTTGTCTGTGTGTGTTGATAGCTGGTGTCATCAGACGGCTCCCACTCAGATGGATGTTCAGTGGCAGAGAGTCAGTCCGAGCGGCCGCCGTCTCACGAGAGAAGCCAAGGCATTGGCGATTCCAGACCCCCGTCCTTCCAGTACGCTTTTTTTGCTGTGTTATACAAATGATCAGATCAAATCACAAGTTGGCAGCAAAACTCAAAATAAGGAGCATGTTCTCACAGTCTTTAACCTTCTCTCCCACACAGTCCCAAGGCTGCAGGCAGCCAGCATGGTGTGGATGATGAGACGGAGACTGATTCGGTCGTGTCACACAGGAGGGAGAGAGACAGATCGCGCAGGAAACACTCACATGAGCACTCTGGTACGTGTCAACATCCTCATTTCTGTGCATGTATTTTGATGCCATGGTTTGTAATCAGTAATAATTCATATTTAAGAATGGGAACAACTAAGCACAAATCGACATTAATGTCCATGGTAATTCATCTAGGAGGAAGGCTGAATGGCTACTCACGGGGCGGCAAAGTCATGGATCTGGGAGGTTATGACATCTGTGACAGCCGTTCTTCCCTCATGAGCAGTGAACTGGAATCAAGCAGCTGTTTTGACTCGGATGACGGCTCCACCAGCCGGTGAGTCTCCCAGCATTTGTTCGTTCCCAAACCACTGCGCTCGATTTGATTACAATCACAGTGAGCGCCAATGGTTTAGCAAGGTTTTTCAGAACTCTGACTTGAGCAATTTGATAAGCAGATGTGGGTAATCATAGTTTGTGGAGGTTTTGAAAATCGTTTAAAGAAAATGTAGATTAATGTTATCGAAAGTGTTGGGAATCTTATTTTGATAAGGTTAGTCTTTTTATGGTAAGAAATGTGCTTTTTAAAGGGTTAGTTCACCCAAAAAGGAAAATTCTGTCATTAATTACTCACCCTCATGTCGTTCCACACCCCTAAGACCTTCGTTCATCTTCAGAACACAAATTAAGATATTTTTGATCAAATCCGATGGCTCAGAGAGGCCTCCATTGACAGCAACGCCACCCAAACTTTCAAGATCCATAAAGGTACTAAAGACGTCGTTAAAACAGTCGACGTGACTACAGTGGTTCTACAATAATTTTATTAAATGACAAGAATACTTTCTGTGCGCAATCAAATCCGATGGCTCCGTTGACAGCAACGCCACCCAAACTTTCAAGATCCATAAAGGTACTAAAGACGTCGTTAAAACAGTCGACGTGACTACAGTGGTTCTACAATAATTTTATTAAATGACAAGAATACTTTCTGTGCGCAAAAACAAAACAAAAATACTAACTTTATTCAGCAATCTCTTCTCTTCCCTGTCATTATCCTTACGTGGTTAACGCAGTAAGCACAATGAAGGCTTCCGTGTTCTACGTCCGAACGCCGGTGTTCTGTCGATTTGTGCTACCCTGTCAGATTTTGCTACCTCCCATTAAAACAGTGGGTACAGTTTGACAACGAAGAATGCCACCTGTAAAATTATGGTTTATTAACGTTTACACCTACCACAACCCTAAACCTACCCTTACAGTAATGCAAATACAGTAATTGTGTTATATTCACGGTTGTAGCTAGAAGGGATACAGCTGCAGGAAACCAACAATAAAAAATGTTTTCTACCTATTAGATTGTGTTTTATTAAAGTCTACACCTACCCCAACCCTAAACCTATCCTTACAGTAATTATTTTACATAAAATTTTGTTGGTCAGCATGAGAAAAAGGACGCAATATTGATGTGACGTCACACAGACAGGCCCCTCCCATGATAGTTTGATTGACAGTAGCGTTTGAATGCCACCTGTAAAATTATGGTTTATTAACGTTTACTCCTACCACAACCCTAAACCTACCCTTACAGTAATGCAAATACAGTAATTGTGTTATATTCACGGTTGTAGCTAGAAGGGATACAGCTGCAGGAAACCAACAATAAAAAATGTTTTCTACCTATTAGATTGTGTTTTATTAAAGTCTACACCTACCCCAACCCTAAACCTATCCTTACAGTAATTATTTTACATAAAATTTTGTTGGTCAGCATGAGAAAAAGGACGCAATATTGATGTGACGTCACACAGACAGGCCCCTCCCATGATAGTTTGATTGACAGTAGCGTTTCAGCACAGACTGGACTGGCGTCTTACCTTAGTTCCGCCCTGAGTGAGCTGTCATCATATCAGTCCACCATTGTTTCACCGCCGGAGCAGATGTAGACAAGAATGACTCCTAAGCGATTGAGGTCTTCTGTTGTTGGATGTAATAATGAACATAGCAGTTGTCATTTACTCTTGACATCTGAGCCGCTGAAGACGCAGTGGATTGTTTGTTTTTGAAGGCAATGCGCCCCCGATCTACATAAATGCGTTTATGTTCACGCAAATCATTCGTGATCCAGCCTCACCTACAGAAGAAGTGAGTAAAAGATTTTTTTTAATGAATCTTTGCAAATCGCCTTTCCTAATAAAGTGCTAATTAGCAAGTTTCACGATGAATGCGGCTAAAGTAAACAGGCCCTCAGAGAGCTGCTCGGAAGAGAGGGGCGGGGTCAGCAGAGCTCATTAACATTTAAAGGAAAATGCTACAAAACGTCTTGCTTTGAAAAGAGCTGTTTTTGACAGGGTAAAAAAGGTGTTTTTTACACTACCATTGAGAAATTTTAACCAAACTGTAGTTTCGCTTTCACAATGAAACACACAGCATCTCCACAACATGGCGGCAGCAACAATACTACAGCGAGAATAAAAGTTACGCCTTCTGTCTTTGCGTGAACATTTGGCCGGCGTTATGCAAATCTTCCCACACAGTGACGTAGACATATGGGGTTTAAACGAGGCGTTTTAGGAAGGCGTGGACGAGTCTTAATTTTTTTTAAAGAATATCTCTTTAGGTTTGAGACTTTAGTCTTTGCAATTTTAGGGATCTTACCTATGCACGAACAGCTTGTAACACTCCAAAGAGAAAGGAAAACTTGAAATTGCATCATATGACCCCTTTAATGTTCAAAAACATATTACTTGTAAAGTGCTGCAAAGAACCACTGAAGAAGTTTTATTTTTCAAATAAAAGTGTTGCACAGCCATTACAATGTATTGTGGTAGTTTGAACAACAGGGTTTAGATAGTTCTCTGTCAAACTCACCTGTTCTGTACAGCTTTGTTGAGTACTGGTTGCCTTCTGTCTAAGGTGAGCCCATCCGGCCCATTGACCCTGCAGCCTGGGTGTCCCATACAGCAGCCATGACGGGCGTCTATCCTCCCTACGGCATGAGTCCTTCAATGAGCACAGTCACCTCCACCAGCTCTTCCATCTCCAGCTCCATCCCAGAGACTGAGAGTGAGACATCTGCTTCAACAACTTTAAATTTCTTTGCTAAAGCTAAATGTTGACCCCTAAATTTTGTGGCGTTCATCCCACAACAGTTGGTATGGGCATGAATGATCCCTTAAATCCTGTGACTTGTTGAGGTGTTCCATTTTCTAAGTGTTCAGACTTACTAGTTGACCTGGCAATGTGTAAAAAAAAAAATCAATCCCATTGACTTCTATTGAGAGGACTTGAGTCATATCTAGATACTTGTGTGTGGAACGTGGGAGGTCCTGGTTTCTCGCCACCAGGCAGATGCTATGTGTTTTGTGCTCTTGTTAACTGTGTGTTGTACTTCTCGCAGGATTTGATGACTACCACCTGTCTGTCCACAGCGACATGGCAACAGTTGCAAAAGCAATGGCCTGTCCAGACTCAGGACTGGAAGTTCGAGACAGAATGTGGCTGAAGATCACTATAGCCAATGCTTTCATAGGTCAAGACCCACTTTATAGTGCTTACAATTAGTAAAGGTGTTTTTAAATTATTTATTAGTTGATCTTCATAATTGTACTCTGTATATTAGCTAAACGTCAGCATGAAACTGAAACTTTGATTGATTTGTCCATTTGGAACATTTATCTGAGTGATAAAATGTTGGATGGGATTTGTTTTCGTCCATCAAGAATTGATTGGATATTTTGATCACAGTTGTTTGCTAATTGCTGTGATCTCATTTGAATGACAAGTTCCTGGATTAGAGGGATTATTGTAATTGCCAAGTATGTAAAGTTTGCATTAAATTACAATTTATCTGGGGTTTTTTTTTGGTAAATGCATGTTATTGGTCTTATTGTGAGCGATCAATCCATGTATACATATACTTTTTTTTTTTTTTTCATCTTGTAATATTTAATCAAAATGTCATAACTTTATCTTGCGGTAAAATGACAGACTTCTCCAATGATTAACAGTTGTCTGTTTAAACCCCGTCCCTCTGTAATCGACTGCAAGCCTACATCTCATAATCCAGTCAACAACCAATGGATAGAACCAAGTCCCTGTCCTGCATTTTTATGATCATTTCTATAATTTGTTACATTCAGAT